TGGGGTAGCTGTGTGCCCAGCTAAAACATCACGTTTCCCAGCCTCTTTTGCAGCCAGGGGTGGTCATGTGACTCAATTTGGCCATGGAGAAATCAGAGTGGGGTTTCTACTAAGGTTCTTTAAAGGGAGCCATCTAAAGTCTCACGTGCCCATTTTGCTCCTTCCCCTTTCTCCTTCTTTCCTGCCTGGAATATGGCTTTGATGGCTGGAGCTACAGCAGAAATTCTGTGACCATGAGGTCACACTGCTGAGAGTTGCAGGATGAAAGCCAGCACTGAGAATGTCAGGGCAGAAAGAGAAAAACCATTGATGACCTTGTGGAGCCATCACACTGACCCTGCATTGCCTACCCCTGGACTTATTTTGCATGACAGAAAGATATCTTTTTGTCTAAGCCACTGTTATTTGGGGGATTTTGTTACTAGTAGCCAAATATAATTCCTACCTGGTGATGTTGGAGGTTGGTGTGTGTCTCTGTGTTAGAAGGTGGAACATGGAACAAGTGGATTTGGGGGTTGAAGTTCTGCATCATTATAAAGTCATTTGTGAATATAAAAAGTTGAGAATCACAGCAGGAGGAAACCAATTTGGAGACCTGTGATCAGAAAATCCCATTATTATCCAGATGGGTGTCTACACAGTGCAAATTCATTAGTGAAAGTAGATCCTATTCTCCAGTACATCTGGTTGAATTAGACAACGTCTATCTTATAAACACTGAGGTTTACATTTGATGCCATTAACAGTTTTTTATTGAAGGAGGAAAATACTTTCTTAATTCATTTCAGGTTTAAGATCAATCCTGCAAACATTGATTAAAACATGAAAGGCATTTAAATAAGCATAATTATCTCTGAAAACACAAAATGTTATGTGTTCATTGTTGTTCAGAGTTAAGGTTTTGAATACTCTAGAGTTTAAAATGCTTTTTTTTTTCTTTCACGCCAAAATGTTTGACTATTGTGAAATACTAACCCAGGATGTTCTGAGCAAACAGTTAGCAAGGTTTCAAACTTTTCTTTTTTTTTTTAAATGCAGGCTAAAACCCTCTCCATTCTTACAGAATCCAGGAAACAGGTCTCTTTGGATATGCCATACAGTCTCTTGGTTTAACTATCCATCTTAAAATATCAAGGGCAATTAAGAGAGTTTTTCATATATATCTTCATAAGCAACACCAAGTTTCTTTTAAAAAGTCAGCAACTGATGGAAGAAAAGTCTTTGCAGTAGCACAAGGTGCTCACTTTGCAACCCATTCTGTATGTAATTCCTGGGATTTGTGAGACTGAAAAAATAAAATAATTCCAGTAGAGGCCATTTACCTAGTTTTGTGGCAACTTCAAATTCATTTGATCCAGAAACAATTTTATCTCCAACCTCCCAATTATTGTTAATGGCTAGATTAACGTACTAACCACTGGTATTTGAAAACCCATCTTGGCTGAATTATCAGGACCATGCACAACAGGCAAACAGACAGGATTTACTGATTTATCAAACCGTTAGCATCTTCGACATTTATTTGAAAGAAAATGACGCTTCAGCTTATTTAATATTTCAATGATAACTTATTCTTAAAAGACAGAGAGAGAGAGAGACACACACACACATTTCAAGGGAACAAATGAGAGGCAGTTTTTCTGTGCGATAACATGGAAAACAGCATACAAGCCATACACACATCTCCAGGGCAGGTCATAGGGGGAAGGGGGAAACAAGAGGATTGAGAATTCATTTGAAAGGCTCTCTCCTTTGGACAAGAATATGCTAGACTCCCGCAACTCATAGGTACCTAATAAAAAATGTAAACATCGATTTGATTTAGGCTCAGCTTCAAAACAGGTGTAAGGCATTAATCAGACAAGCATATTTAACATTTGTTCCCTTTCTTCTCTTTGCTTACCCGATCAGGAACTGAATGGGCTGAACAGTGTGAATAAATGAAAGGCAACTAACTTTGGAAATATTCCTTATACTATTAGCTCAAACCCCTGATCCTTTTAGCTAGGTCCAAACCCATAAGCCAAGATGGAGAAGCACTGGGTTCCTGAAGAAGAGGATGGCTTGTGGGCTGAGCTCTGGAGGGAGCAGTTAAGTTACAGAGAAGCGTTTGTTGGGGTGGGGGAGCTGGGACGCTCTGAGACCCACAGAGGAGCCCGTCACCCACCTCTGCACCCACCAAAGGGCTGCGCCAGGGACTCCAAACAGCTCAGGTTCCAGCATTTCCCTGGAGATGCCATCACAAGCCCTGGCACCAGGGACACCACTGTCAAATTTGGCAAACCCATTTTTCTTCCTGTTGAATCAGAAGGCCCAGGCCCAGGCCCAGGCCCTGAAGTGCTAAGGGGCTTTCAAAGCCAAAGAAGGGGCCTGACCCACTCAGGTCTCAGTAGGAATGCGGCTCATGGGGTTTGCTTCTCGTTTTCAACCCCAGTCCGCATGCTAAACACAACAGGTGAAGATCACAGTGCACTTAGCGGTGTCAGGAAGAGCTCCAAAAAGACCCTTCCTTTGTGTTATTCTGGACCAGAACAAGTATTTGGCATTTTGCTGGCGCAGGGTGGGAATGTTCCATCATTCTCACAGGCTGAAATAATTAAATTCGAAAGCTGGAATGAACATTTTTCTTTTTTGGGGGGTGGGGTTGGGGAACTTAGAGTTTAAAAAATTTACTTATGTTTTTAAAAATGGAGGTACTGGGGATTGAACCCAGGACCTCATGCATGCTAAGCATGCGCTCTACCACTGAGCTCTATCTCCCCCCGGAATGAGCATTTTTCAGGTAGGCACAGCACAAATGCTGGGCTGACTCTCCCCGGACCCAGGCCCAGAGTGACCTGTCATCACGCCCTTTCAGATGCAGGCTCTCAGCTGCGCTGATGCCCCATTCAACATCCTTCCTAGAGACCAGGGCATTCAGACTCGAGTGAGCCTTCAAGTGCCTGGGAAGCCTGCAGTCCCTGAGCATTCCTTGGAGAGTGAAAACAGATGAATTTTTAAACAACAAAATAAGTGTATATGTGTATGTTTGATAATGGTCCAAGTTTTAATAGCATGGTAAAATATTTATCTTATTTTTTATAGCTAGCATGCAATCAATCTGTAATACACTCACAGAATTTATAAAGATCAAGGTCTATTCAGTCACAACTAGATGGAACCAGTCAATATTTAAATATAAATATGTATAATATATATTTATAAAATCAGTTAATGGGAAATGCAGATCCATCACCAAGCAAGTCACTCCAACACCAGGCAAGTCACTCTCCTAAGATCAACCCTACACCCAACAGGAAGAGGGGAGCTCCTCGGAGCACAACTGTTCAGCCCACAAATTCTCCATTTTTTTTTCAAGCCACAGAGTAAAGGGCTGTGGGTATCTTTCTGGTTTGGGGGTTTAAGAGGTTAATTGGCTTAGCAAATTGGTCCATTCAAGTTAATTTTCCTCTTGGACCCTGAATAACCTCAACAGGTTTCACCAAAATCCCCAGTCCCCTCTTTGATAAATGATGTCAAGTGTGTACAGGGGACAGAGTTGAAGGTGGAAGACTGGCAATAAATAGTAAGTAAGTAAGTATTCATTACGTAAAGACAAATGAATAATAATCCTTGCTTCTTGGATTTTGTTCGCACTGAGGTGGGAAGAGGGCTGGTCATGGGAAGTCGCAAACATTGAATTAGAGGATGCTGGAAAAGGAAAGACTATTGTCTTTGTCCTCCAGGTGAAGAAGCCAGGAATACACCTGGCCACAAAGGTAACTGTGAGAACTGAGCCATCTTTCTCTTCTCACCAGGCCCGACACTTGCCCTGGGTCTCCGGGGAGCAGAAGGAAGGAGGCAAAGAGCAGAGAGATTTGGGGAGGTCAGGGAAGGCACATGGTGGGGCCATCACTTTTTGCTCACAGGCAGTAGGTGCATGAAAAATCCCTGTGTGTTGGTGAGTGAGTGTGGTTGTGTGAGGAGGGGTTCTGTCCCTTTTATTATAAATTCCAAGCAGATACAAGTACTTAGGTTCAGAAAATAAAAAACGGCTGCGCATAATTTACCTTTCCATTTTCTATTGATATATACAATATGAAGCACAAAGATGGTTCAAAGATACCACGATGCAAGACTCCTGCAATTATTTTCAGCACAAACTATTTCTTTTACCTATGAAGACCTGGCCTTTTTCCAAGTAAGACTTGAAATTATGCTTTTCCATTTCTTTTCTTTCTGTTTCTTTTATATAAAATGGCAACTCTTTCTCGGGAGAAACAGCCTTTTTCCGTACATATAAATGGCCCAGGGCTTCCGGTATCACTGATCCATGCATCCTGCCTCTCAGATGGTTGTGAGGACCAAGAGCATGATTTTAAACTTGAGTAGTTTGGGTTTTTGGGTTTATCATCTGGAAGGAAAGACGGAAGCCGGCTGGGTCCCGGCAGCTGCCTCCAAAGAGACTTACTCCGTAGGGACAGAACCAGTGAGTTCCCTTCTGGATGATACATGAACAGGAATGAAGTGGTAATTTTCTTAATTCCATTCTGGTCAGTGTCTGGGTAAGAATGACAATCTATGTGATCTCTGCTTAAAATAAGCCAGTTTCTCCTCTTTTATGGATTGCTTCTACCAGGACCTCAAGTTGCCCTCCTGAGCTTCCTCAATCCATGAGCACGACCCAGAGCAGAGCAGACAGCCCCACAGCCCACTTCCTCCTGAGCTCTCTTCCCAACCTGCCAGGTACCAATCTGTAAACAGGGAGCAAATGCCACTAAGACCGTGTCGAAAGAGATAAAGAAAAGGAAAAAAAAACCAAACAACAACAACAAATGATGGAAAGCTGCTCTCTTATCTAAGATATCATCCCATAAATACCTGACAATTCAAAAGTGTGATGTTTTTTGGCTGTTTTGGGACCATTCCTTGCCAGGGATGCTTCAATAAAACTGAATTCTCTGCAGGCCATCTGGATGATTGTGGTATCACTTCAGCTGTTAAGGAGAACTGCACACAGATCCAGAATAACAGAGGACGTCATTTTATTGGCTGTCCACGGGAATGCGGTCACACAAGGAGGTGAAGACTGCGGCGGGTGTGGTACAACACAGCACCTCGTCTACCTACTAAACAGAAGGATAACTGGTACTTGATATGGTAACACCCCAGCAGCCTCCGCAGGCCGGGAGCCACCTACCCATGTCGGATTAAGCTTAAGAAGCTGGTGAGGGGGTGGCACTGTCCATGGGTCTCGGTTTGTTGCACTGTCTTCCCTTCAAGCAGCACTGGAGAATTCACAAAATTAAAAAAGAAAGGAAAAGAAAGCCGCAGTTCCTTTTCAATACCAACACCACTGTGAACAGACTGCAGCGTGGCATGCAAATCCACATCTGGTCGTTTTTTTTTTTTTCCCTTTAGGTTTTTTTTTTTAATTAACAAATGGAATGGCATGTCTATTTCAAATATTAGTAGCATAACACGTAAGTGCAATTTCAGTCCGGCCACAAGTGTCATAAACCTTCTGTGTGTCTGTCCCAGAGAGGCAAGCGGAACCTCCAGGCATCCTCCTCTTCTGCCAGACTCTGATTGAGCCCCTCAAGGCTCCTCTCTCCCCACGCCCACCCTTCATATTCCAAACACCTGAAAATAGCTCTTTCTCTATTTTCACTGTTATCAAAGCGGTCAGGGTGGAGAAGAAAAGTCAATAAAACCAAGGTGTAAGTCTTTGGGTCCTGCCCGCCTCCGCCCTCAGCAGAGATCCATTTCCTCTCCCAGTGGTCTTTGTGCTCCAGGACCCGAAGGTGTCCCGGCCACCACCGCACAGGGTCACAGGAAGTCTTTCCCGTCTGCCGTCTGCCTGTCCCCCTGTCTGCAGCCCCTGGCTGAGGCCACGCGGTCACACGGAGCTGAGCTTCACCAGGCCTCGCACGGAGTCTTCGTGCAGAGAGTCCTGGCTGGCCAGGCCCAGGACGTGCATGGTGCGGCTGTGGGCCAGGGGGCTGCCCGCCAGCATCCTGGGCGGCGAGGGCGCTTCCTCCGGGGTCAGGAACTGGTGGCCCACGTGCTCCTCTTTCAGGGGCAGTATGTCTGTGAGCGCGGCCTCGGCGGCGAGGTTGGGCATGGAGGAGGGCGGCGTGGGCTGCCCCAGCGTCAGGCTGGCACAGGGCGTGCCCAGGCCCGGCTTCCCGGGCAGGTGCAGCTCGTCGCTGGTGAGGCTGGGCTCGCTCTGCAGCAGGGGCGTGGCTGCGGCCTGCAAAACGAATTTGGTGCTCTGAATGCACTGGTCTTGGTCGCACTGGAGAGCAGGAGGGAGCCAGCAAATAGGAGGAGAGAGGAGATGGCAGGAGGTGGGGAGGGAAGGGGGCATGGGGGCAAGAGAGGGCGGGATGCGAGAGAGAGAGAGAGAGAGACCCGTTAGTGACACCTCGGTCAGACAGGGCAGAGAGCATGCGCAGTAGCCCAGTTCTGTTTGGCGCCACCCAGCACGTGGTAAATACCAACACCTGGTACCTAAATAGCTACTCAAACTAATAGTCACCCACAGGCACCCCGGGAGTACCACACAGCCACAGGCTTGATGTTCTGGGTCCCTGTTCACAGACAGGACCTAATTTAAAAACAATCCGTGGACAGAGGCACAGGGTTTGCCACCTGCATTGGTCCGAGACTGGTGTTGCTTCTATGCTGAAAACCATTTACCATGTTGTTTTAAAAATATAGGGGCCTGTACACCCATGTTCCCGGCAGCACTATTCACAATGCCTAAAGGTGGAAGCAAGCGTTTATTGACAGATGAACAGGTAAATAGGATGTAGTCTATACAGACAGTGGAGCATTGAGTTGTCAGAAGGAAGGACATTTTGACATGTGATGCAACATGGAAGAACCTTAAAGACATCATGCTCAGTGAAATAAGCCAGGCATAAAAAGGCAAAAACTACATGATTCCTAGAGGTACCTAGAGGAGGTATATGAGATACCTGGAAAAGGTGTTTTTTTTTTCATTTTTGTCATTTTAACATTCAGACCATGACACCTGGTAACAACAGTAAAGCAAAACAAACAAACAGAAGATCAATATTTAACTTTCCCATTCACCCAAGTCTCACACTAGAATTCTCTCCCCATCTCTCCCATAAAGGAGGTATATATATATATATATATATATACACACACACACACATATAAAAGGACTCATATATTATATGAGGTACCTAGAGAAGTCAAGCTCCTAGAGACAGAAAGCAGAATGGTGGTTGCCAGGGAAGGGAGATGGGGAGTTACGATTTAATTTAATGTATGGAGTTTCACTTTGTAGGAAGAGTTCTGGAGATGTCAATGGTAGTGAGGGTTGGATTAGAATGTGAATGTACTTAATGCCACTGAACTCTATGCTTAAAAATAGTTAAAACAGTAAATTTTATGTTATGTATACTGTGCCACAAAAAAGAAAGGAAGAAAAGGAAGGAAGGAAGGAAGAAAGGAAGGAAGAAAAATACAGGGGCAACCGAAGCCCAAGGGTCTGATGAGACTGTAAAATCTCTAGAATTCCTCACTGCTAAATTTTTGTCAGCCTCAAGAACCATTAATTGAGCTTCTGTGGTTTTTTAATCTGTAAAAGAGAATGCCAACATTTTATAAAAGATTTCCTTTTCTTCTAAGTATTCTTAAATCTTAACTCTTGTGTCCTTTGTTTCACTTTTTTCCACAAAGGAAATAGTGGGAACACTTTTCTAGCCGGGGGAGTTTGAAACCCTTCCCTTGAGCTGTGGGCAAGGTTCAGAACAGCCAGAAGAGACTTCTTGTATGCAGAGATCTTGAACTTGAGTCTGTGGTGACTTAGTTTTGGGAGCAAGTGTGGATATTAGGCAAGCTATCCTGTCTATATTCAAGCAATAAGCTAGTGCTCCACTCTGTTTCTGCAGAAGTTCTTAGAACAAACACGTGTTCCCTCTACAAATGCAGACCTGAGGATCAGATGGGTTGGCTTAAGACCTGATGGAAAAAAGACCTTATGGAAAAAAATCCAGGAGAAAAAATCCGGGATTTGGGACTGGGAGTGTCTGACTGCAAATCCCTTTTTCCCCCTCACATTTGTCACCTAGTAGGTGCTTAGTAAATGCTCGTGTTATCTCCACTCTGATTTTTTTGAACTCCAGAGTTACTGTTGAACCATGTTCTCATAGTTTTAGGATGGAGGGGCTTTGCTGTCTTTCCGTCCAGAGGCATGCCTAGAACTGCTGTCACTCACCCACCGCCCGGCACAGAAACAACCTAAACCATGCAACATGCAGGCTTCAGGGGAAAAAAGAGAGTTTACCCGAAGTCACAGTTCCTTAGGCTTTTACTTCTTTGGCGCCAGTGTGTGTCCTTCCTAACCAAATGGGTTTCTTTCTAAAATCACAAATGGTGGACTAGCCTGCCCCCAAGCCTGCATGAAGAGGTAGAAGAGGCACAGTCTCCAAGGAATTCACAGGTTTTAGACATTCAAAGGCATTGGTTCCAGGCAAGAGTAAGGGGCATAATGGAGTTTAAAGAGGGAAAGAAAGTCTCAAGGAAGATCTTGGCTTTTCTATCATGGCTTCATCTCAGCCAAGGATGGAACTTCAAAACGCTGAGAAGGGGAAGGGTGGGAAAGGGCCGAGGAGTGGGTGGAGGGCTACTTGGATGAGACAAAAATGCCATTAAAAAGTGCTTGAAAGGGGCTGTCAGGCACTGACGGTCATTTAATACCCACATTTTCCCAATCATCTCCTGAACAGCAGTACTTATCCAAAGGGCAACTGCGTAGGTTTCGCTGCTCTTGCAGGGAATCTCAGCTCAGGGCAGGACCCTTTCTGGTGGGGGATGCTGAGCAGCGCGTCTGTCAGGGCTACAGACAGCTCTGGTCGGCTCACGCTCTCCAGCCCCATCAGTTCCGTTCAGCACATCGGCTGAGTCTTGACAGGGCAGAGGCGGAGAAGAGCAACCTTCCTGATTAAACATTCATCTTTTGGAAACTATCCCAGGGCTCTGGATATATTGTACTTTGCAAAGAACATTTTATGAAAATCACCCTTTAGTGTCCTGGCTGATGGCGACAGCACAGCCTCTGAGCCGGCCGCCCCCCCTGCCCGTGGCCCCCGGGCTGAGAAGCCGCCCCAGAGAGCTCCAGCTCTCAAATTAGGGCCCTTCCTGGATGATGGGATCTTGTTCTTCACTTTCCCTTCTGGAACCCTCACTTGTCTTAGTACCTTCTGTCCAGACAATACCCCCAGCTCCGGGGAAAGATGAAACTGCAAATTAGATTTGCTTGTCTCTGTTGACCTGAAGAAGGCGGGTTTTTTTATTGAAAACTGATTGGCAAATTCTATTTGCCAAGCACTTCTGACCGGCTCTTACAGACTCTCAGAAAAATACATTAGAGGTCAGGGCTGGAGGAGATTTCCAACGTCAGGTAGCACAAACATGAGGAGAGAGGCGAGCTTCCCCTCGCTTTGTCTTTCTCTCTCCATCTCCAGGCAAGCGCCCTTTCCCCGTCCCTGATCACGCCTCTCCAGCTGTGCCCTGCAGCAGAGCTCATGGGCACCCACCAGAACCTTCTGGGATATAAGGGCTGCCAACAGTGGTCTGTTAAGTTCCTTAGAGCTCATGTTCACTGGGAGGTTGATGTGGAATTTGGGGGCCTTTTGAGATTCTATGCTAAAGCATCCTTGTGCTGACTTGAACGGACCTGTGAAAACTGGTTTTGCCTTTTTACATAGGATGTTGATTAATCAAACCTTGAGTTACCTTACTGAGACAGCACTACGCATGTGCAAGACAGGAACTTCTGTCTCCAGGATGACTCCAGACCAAGAATCTTCAGTTCACAGAACTCAAAGAATAGAAATGTTGCCACTGGAGCCCTTTAGGAAGCAAGGAGTCCTTCAATAAGGAAAACCTGGCTTCCAGCAGCACAAGTAGCTTTTACGGACTAACTGAAGACTAACTAGGTTGCAAGTTTGAAATTCCTCTAACCTCTTAAATTTTGCCCTAAAACCTGGATGGAGGAGGCAGATTTGAGCCCCACCTCCCGTCTCCTTGCTACTCAACTTTCCAATAAAGCTCCTCTTTCCTTAAAAGCTGGGGCCATCGTATTGGCTTCTATGCACACTGGGCGGTGAGCTGTTGCTAGGCAACACCTGGAGGTGGGTTTACTCTGAAGCTACAAGCTTAAGTTCAAGGCCTCTTGCTTGCTTGCTTTCCAAGGCCTTGCTTGTTGTTTTGTTTTGCATATTGTTTCCTTTTCTTAAAGAGGACTCCAAGTTACATGACTCAGGCTCCTCCAAACCTGGGTCCACTCCTGCGCACACCTGTTGGCACTTTCTTGTTGCCAAATTGACAACATTAAAACTGTAGCAAATCCGTGCTCGGCCTCACAGCCAGGACCCTGTTAGAAATGCTCTCCGGTTTCCCAGAGGGAAAGCTGAAGGATCTAAATATGTGAAAGAAAACATTTAGCCTAAACCATTTAATTAAAAAAATTGAAATGTCACTCAAAATGAATATTTTGATGTTAAAATAACGCCATTTGCAGCAACATGGATGGTCCTGGAGAATGTCATTCTAAGTGAAGTAAGCCAGAAAGGGAAAGAAAAATAGCATATGATATCACTCATATGTGGAATGTG